TTCCAGGCGAATACAACATTGCAGATTGGGTCACACGCGGCAAGAGTCCAAAAGATATTGGTATTGACAGTAGATGGCAAAGAGGACCCGACTTCCTCACGAAACCAGAAAGCGAATGGCCTATAAGTCAACACATCCTTGATCAACCTTTACCTGATACCATTAAGCAGGGTATCGCTACCATCGTTACATGTCACAAAGAAAAGGATRGTATAACGGCCAGGATTGATATACAAAAAYATTCTGACTACAAGAAGCTACTGAGAGTCACTGCAAGAGTTCTAGCTATGTACAAGAAGAAGCCAAAACCATCATTTAAACACGCCTCGCAACAGCTACTTTATGACGATATCGTGAATGCAGAAAAAACTTGGATCTTACAAGTACAGAACCAGATGAAAAGTGACATAGAGAAAGGGCGATACAAACGCTTATGCCCACGCAAACGGCAGGATGGTATATATGTTGTTGGATATCGCGTACAGAAATGGGTTGAAATGAGTTACAATAAGTCTGAAGTTATACTGCTTCCCTATAATCATCGTTTTGCAAGATTATACGTTGAATACGTACACCAAATGGGACATCTTGGAGTGTCAGCGACTGCCAGTAAAGTACGTACCAAGTATTGGATTRTTAGACTTCATAAGCTAGTWAAGTCTGTCAAGTCTAAATGTGTTACATGCAGGAAAATTGAGAAGAAATTGACAGGGCAAGTAATGGGTCAACTTCCAGAGGAACGTTTGAAACCAGCCCCTGCTTGGAAATCCACTGCTATTGATTTATTTGGACCATTTAAGATAAGAGATGAAGTGAAAAAGAGAGTGCATGGTAAAGCTTATGGCGTCATCCTTAATTGTTTAGCTTCAAGAGCTGTGCACATTGACGTAGCATCAGATTACAGCACTGACAAATTTTTGATGGTAYTACGACGATTCGCGTCTTTACGTGGATATCCTTCGACACTTTATTCTGACAACGGCCCGCAGTTGGTRTCAGCAAGCAATGAACTCATAAATGTAACKAAGCACTGGAAGCAKACCGAGCTCGAAGCTTTTGGTRTGGTGGAGGGATTTCAATGGAAATTTACTTCTGCTGATGCGCCCTGGCAGAATGGCATATCAGAAGCTTTAATTAAAACCATCAAACGCACATTGAAATTGGTGATTGGTGAAAATACTTTGACATTTTCTGAGCTACAARCCGTCTGTTTCGAAGTAGCGAACTTAGTAAATGAGAGACCCATAGGTCGTCACCCTACATCACCAGACGATGGGACGTATCTATGCCCGAATGATCTACTACTTGGGAGATCAAGTCCTAGAATCCCAGGTGGACCCTTTATGGAAGCARCCAGTCAAARACAAAGATTTGAGTTYATCCAAAGTATAATCAACAGATTTTGGAAGAAGTKGACTGTGGATTACTTCCCAAGTCTGATTGTTAGACAAAAGTGGCACACYTCAGCCAGGAATGTGCAGGAAGGGGATATTGTTTTGGTTGCGGACTCCAATTCAGTCAGGGGCCAATGGAAAATGGCAAGAGTGTCAAAAACCTTCCCRGGAAAGGACGGAAAAGTAAGGAAGGTTGAGTTGAAGTACAAAAACCCGAAGAAAAGAGAACCCGTCAAGATCTACAAAGGACAAGGATTCGTAACTATAGATCGRCCAGTACACAAACTGGTGGTTATAGTTCCTGTAGAGGAACAGAACTAAATATCTGACTATTTATTTTGAAATGATTTTGTCATGCCTACACTTTATTTCTCGGTGGCCGGAGTGTATCGTTTAAATACTAATCGATATTGTATTGTGTGATTGCGTTACGTCGCGCGTTACGTAGTTTTACGTCACTAAATGTAATTAACTTAATTATCGTTGTTCATTGTGAAGACCTTGTATTATCGGAAGGACCATAAGATTTCGAACCATATAATTGTTGGTGATCAACTCTGTAATTCTGATAATTGGTCACGATGACAATAAAGTGTTTGGAACTGTGGTCGTGTTTCAACATAACA